TCTGAGGATAGAACAAGAAGCAATGGGCTTAAACTGCAGCAAGGGAGGTTTAGGTTGGACATTAGGAAAAAGTTCCTAACTTTCAGGGTAGTCAGACACTGGAATAAATTGCCCAGGGAGGTTGTGGAGATATTTAAGAGTAGGTTGGATAGGTGTCTGTCAGGGATAGTCTAGGCAGTATTTGGTCCTGCCATGAGGGCGGGGGACTGGACTCGATGACCAATGGGCTTAAACTGCAGCAAGGGAGGTTTAGGTTGGACATTAGGAAAAAGTTCCTAACTTTCAGGGTAGTCAGACACTGGAATAAATTGCCCAGGGAGGTTGTGGAGATATTTAAGAGTAGGTTGGATAGGTGTCTGTCAGGGATAGTCTAGGCAGTATTTGGTCCTGCCATGAGGGCGGGGGACTGGACTCGATGACCTCTCAAGGTCCCTTCCAGGCCTAGTATTCTATGATTCTATGAAACTCTGCGCTGTGGCGGTCGATCTTCCGGCATTTGAATTAGTGGGTCTAGTAAAGACCTGCTAAATCAAATACCGAGGATGCTCCTGTCGGCACTGGTACTCCTACTCCTCATGAGGAACTAGAGACGCCAATGGGAGCATTTCTCCCATCGACCTCCTGCTGTGAGGACTGCACTGCAGCTCAGCTTTAGGTACATCCACTCCAGCTATGTTTTTTACATAGCTGGAATTGCATTCCTTAAGCCAATCTTCCCCCGAGCGTGAACCTGGCCTAGGTATATAGCAGAATGGGGCTTTATATTTCAGCACTTCGCCATAATTCAGTCTGTTAACACATTGTGCAGGAATCATCTCTGTACATTGTATGGGGCACAAAACTGCAGTGGCAAAAGAATGCCCTGCTGCTGCCTTCTTCCAATCGCCCCCCCCCCCAACCAGCTGAGCAATGTCCTCTGCAAGAGGGGCTGGTGCACTGGCAATACAGAGACACACACAGTAAGGGTATTTCCTGGAATGGGAGGGGTTGCACTCATTGTGCCAGCCTCATTGTGCCAGCTAAACTGGTACAACAGGGCCACAAATCAGGCCCATTGTGTTTCTACCCAGCACATGCTGCACAGTGTGAAAATCCCGTAGACTAGAAGACCTACATAAGGGCATTACAGCCACAGTGCCTGTGCAGTTGCAGTACTAGATACATTCATGGAGGATCGATTCATCGCTACTTATTAGCCAGGAGGGGTAGGAATGGTGTCCCTAGCCTCTGTTTGTCTGAGGCTGGAAATGGGTAACAGGAGAGGAATCACTTGATGATTCCCTGTTCTGTTCATTCCCTCTGGGGCATCTGTCGGAAGACAGAATACTGGGCTAGATGGACCTTTGCTCTGACCCAGTATGGCTGTTCTTATGTTCTTATGTTCATTTATATGGCCCCGTACTGCGCAGCAAAGGGGCCTGATCTTGATTTGGAGCATACCCTGAATGACCATTATAACAAACAACACAATAGTGGCATTAGAGGAGGTTTTTGAACAAATGGATAAATTTAACAGTAAAAAGCCTTTGGAACCAGATGGCATTTACCCAAGAGTTCTGAAAGAACTCAAATGTGAAATTGCAGAGTTATTAACTGTGGTTTGTAACCTATCCTTTAAATCAGCTTCTGTACCTAATGACTGGAAGATAGCTAACATGACACCAATATTTAAAAAGGGTTCTAGAGAAGATCTTGGCAATTATAGATTGGTAAGTCTAACATCAGAACCAGGTAAATTAGTTGAAACTATAGTAAAGAATAAAATTGTGAGACACACAAATGAACATAATTTGTTGGGGAAAAGTCAACATGGTTTCTTTAAAAGGAAATCATGCCTCAATCTACTACAGTTCTTTGAAGGGATCAACAAACATGTGGAAAAGGAGGATCCAGTGGATCTAGTACACTTAGATTTCCAGAAAACCTTTGACAAGATCCCTCACCAAAAGCTCTTAAGTAAAGTAAGTTGTCAAGGGAAAAGAGGGGAGGTCCTTTCATGGATTGATAACTGGTTAAAAGACAGGAAACAAAAGATAGGAATAAATTGTTAGTTTTCAGAATGGAGAGAGGTAACTAGTGGTATCCCCCAAGGGTCAGTACTGAGACCAGTCCTGTTCAACCTATTTATAAATGATCTGGAGAAAGGGGTAAACAGTGAGATGGCAAAATTTGCAGATGATACCAAACTGCTCAAGGTAGTTAAGACCAAAGCAGACTGTGAAGAGCTTAAGAAATATCTCACCAAACTAAGTGATTGGGCAACAAAATGGCAAATGAAATGTAATGTTGATAAATGCAAAGTAATGCACATTGGAAAAAATAATCCCAACTATATATACAATATGATGGGTACTAATTTACCTATAACTCCTCAAGAGAGAGATCTTGGAGTCATTGTGGCTAGTTCTCTTAAAAAAAAAAGTCCACTCAATGTGCAGCGACAGTTAAAAAAAGCAAATACAATGTTAGGAATCATTAAAAAGGGGACAGAGAATAAGACAGAGAATATCTTATTGCCTCTATATAAAACCATGGTATGCCCACATCTTGAATACTGCGTACAGATAAGGTCACCTCATCTGAAAAAGAGATATATTCTCATTGGAAAAGGCTCAGAAAAGGGCAACATAAATGATTAGGGATTTAGAACAGGTCCCATATGAAGAGAGATTAAAAAGACTGGGACTTTTCAGCTTAGAAAAGAGGAGACTAAGGGGGGGTATGATAGAGGTCTATAAAATCATGACTGGTGTGAAAAAAGTGAATAAGGAAAAGTTATTTACTTGTTCCCATAACATAATAACTAGGGGTCACTAAATGAAATTAATAGGTAGCAGGTTTAAAACAAACAAAAGGAAGTTTTTCTTCACTCAGTGCACAGTCAACCTGTGGAACTCCTTGCCAGAGGAGGTCATGAAGACCAGGACTTTAAAAGGGTTCACAAATGAACTAGATAAATTCATGGGGGTTAGGTCCATAAATGGCTATTAGCCAAGATGGGTAGGAATGGTGTCCCTAGCCTCTGTCAGAGGCTGGGAATTGGTGATGGGAGAGGGATTGCTTGATGATTCCCTATTCTGTTCACTCCCTCTTGGGCACCTGGCGTTGGCCACTGTTGGCAGACAGGATATTGGGCTAGATCAGTGGTCCCCAACCTTTCGAGGTTGTCGGGCGCCAGGGGGCGTGGCCGTTCGCCCGCTGGGCGCCAGGGGGCGGGGACACTTGCGCCCCGGGGGCGGCCCCCCCCATAGCCGCATGCCTGGGGCCGGCGCTCCCCCCGCCATGCGCCCGGTGCCAGGCCAGCCTCGAGCACTTGGCGGGCACATGGCGCCCGCGGACACCGTGTTGGGGACCACGGTCCTAAATTATGCTGGCATACATCCATCACAGTTATGAAATCACTTGTGCATGTGCACAGTTGGCTCTTTGTGACACCAGTGCATGTTCTCATTAGGAACTCTTGTACCGCGCGCCCGGGGCCGGCGCTCCCCCCTGCCATGCGCCCAGTGCCAGGCCAGCCCCGAGCACCTGGCGGGCGCATGGAAATGCCCCCGCGGGCACCATGGTGCCCACGGGCACCGTGTTGGGGACCACGGGGCAAGATGGACCTTTGGTCTGACCCAGTATGGCGGTTCTTATGTTCACAACACAACAGTGGCAACACAACAGCGCTTTGATGCTTACCTCTCTCTAGTCCAGAGATTTGGTTTTTTAGGGTATCCCTCACATGTTCTGCTTCAACTTTTTGTTCCTCTGCAATGCGCAGTTTTCTCTGGATAACTTCTCTTACCTTGGAGAGTTTCGAAATTTCATGACGCGTCTGAGTCACCTCATCCTCTCTTATCTATATAGAAGCAGGAGGGAAAAGAATTAAGGAAGGCAATCCTATCAGAATTAGCAAAAGGAAAAGCTTCATTTTATGTACAGGACTCGGTGGCACAGGAGACCACTGAGATAAAGCTGTGGCTGGATTTAGAAAAAGACTGGAGAATGGCACCACTATTAAAATAATTTAAACAAAGCCGGTGGAGGCAATGAGAAAGGCAATCAAATCTCACATTTCAGGGCATATGAGAGATCAGTAAAGAATTCCAAACTGCAAGCCACATGCACAGCACTGCACAACTGGCTCAATGGATTAGATCTGAATAGCCTTGCCTTCCACTGAAACATCAGGTACTGGTGACTGGTCCCACCTCAGCCTTTGTTTAACTACAGCTTGAGAAACCAAATCTTCGAGTCCAGATCATGTTATGGAAGCAGGAAATGAAACTATTAATCCAAGACCTTGCAGTAAAATGTAGCCGGTAGGGGTCATTGCACATCAGAAATAATCCCCCCACTGCGGCAATGCCGTTATATTTTAGGCCCTATGCATTACTGAATCCATCACTACTAGGGGGCCTAATCCTGTGAGGTGCAAATTCCTCTGGTGAGGAACTGAGTGCGACCAAAGCCTACTGACAAACACTGAACTTGAAGAAATGTGCAAAGATTTACATCATTAAGTGTTGGGAATGTGCCGCACTAAGCCAGACATGTTTACATTGCCGGCTCCACCTACCGCGCCTAGCATAACAAGATCATAGTCCACAACTAGGGCATCCACAGGCTTCCTCAATAACTGGACAGCAACTTAACAATGGATGTTCAGAAGCCTGTGCACATAATCCTACAGGGTATGTCTACACTGGCACCCTACTTCGAAGTAGGGATGCAAATGTAGGCATTCAAAATAGTCAATGAAGCGAGGATTTAAATATCATTAGCATGATCTCGCCGGCATGTTACTCCGATCAACAGCTGTTTTGAAAGTGAAAGTGCGCGCCAGGATGCATTAGTTCGAACCAAACCCCTTGTTTCGAACTAACGTTACTCCTCAAAAAATGAGGGGTTTGGTTCAAACCCTAGTTCGAACGAGGGTGCAAGTGTAGACATACCCACAGAGTGTTAAACTTCAACTTTCACTGCGGTGTGCATCAGGCCCGCCCCTTACACAGCTAATACCCACCTTGAACCCTGTTCTCAGTTCCCATTTGAACATGTGGCTTGGTACGTTTTGCACAAAGATGACACAGCTGGGAATAACAATGATGCTAGCTAACCTGAAGGCCAGAGAAATCTGGTTTTTCAATAGTAGTAAAAGTGTCCTTCCAGTGTGATTTGCAATGGAACAGAAAAACTAACACCCACAGTGATGTCTCACTGGAGTTCTTGATGTTATATTCATTCTGGACAGACCTTCTTACATGTCTGTTGTAGGGTTTTTTTGTGCTGTTTTATCCAACAGCGCTCACTGCAAGAAGGCTTCCTAACCATGACTGACTAAGGGTATGTCTACACTGCAGTGCTATTTCAGTATACCAGAAGTATCCCAAAATAGCTACCCCGCATCTTTTGAACGCATTCGCTATTGCGAAATATAGCGGACCCACTATTTCGGCATCCCTGTAAACCTTGTTCCACGAGGGATAAGGGATGTCTCGAAATAGTACATTATTTCAAAATCTGGCTCTGTGTAGATGCGCCAAATTTCAAAATAGCCTATTTTGAAAGAGAATCAAAATAAGATATGCAATTTGCATAGCGCAAATTGTGTATCTTATTTTGAGCTAAGGGTGAAGTGTAGACACACCCTTAGTTAGCTGAATCAGTTGTACTGTACTGAAGTTTGATACCCGATTGGTTTTCTGCTCTGTTTTCTAATAGAGCCAGCATTGAAACTGCAGTAGTACTATTAACTGGAGGAAATCAGAAAGAACAGGCATATAGTAATAATATCTACAGTGCCTTTCATTTCCAAAAGCACTAGAAATGCTTTAGAAACCCTATGTAGCAATCACTTTACTCACTGATGAAATGCAGCTACTTCTGGAGTGCTGCAAAACAGCAGTTAACCATGCACCTCAACACAAGATAACAGTTTAGATCATCAAGCGACCAAGAACATACCCATTTGTATTTTACTTCACCAACTGACACCAAAGGTGAAATATAAGTAAGCAGGATGTAGTTACCTACCTTGGAATTTGGCTGGGACAATTATTATAATGATATATTATTGGTTTCCAGCCGCATTCACAATGTGCTAATCACTCTAAAAACATAAAGGAAGGCATGGCCCCTATCCCAAGAGATTTACAGTCTAAAAAAAAAAGACTTTGCCCTTATGAAAAATAGCATGAGATCTTAAATGATCACAAATGGTCACAACCTCTGTTTTATGTGTGTTCTGAAACAGTATGATATAGTACTAGGCAGGGATACTGGTATAGTATTGATTCAAGAGGAAGAACATCACCTACTGAATCACCAACATGTTCCCAGTCCAAAGTAGTCCAACAGTAAGGGGATGTGCCTGGTGCCATGCAAATGGGAGCTGGTACTTACTTTCAGCTCCAATGTTTTCTGCTGGTTATCCTGTGTGAGCTGTTCGAAGGCCAGGCTGTGCTGCTCGTTCTCTTGCTGGAGTTTAGAGTTCCTCGTCTGAAATTGCTCAAGTTCTTTGGCAGCTCTTTCATTCAGGATCTGTTAGATTATGAAACAATCCAGTTAATTCTTTTTAACCTAACTCTAATGAGACAGAGACAGACCTGCGGCACCTTGAGTCTCCCCGGGGGATAAGAGCTACTGAAGATTATTGCCTTTCCAGAAATTATTCTTTATCCCCGATGAAATTATTAATGTGCTCAGAAATATGATAAATGTTCAACGGCTGGGAAAAATGACAACTTTTAATGAATAACAGAGCCAGCATCATTTTTTCTGGGCGCTTTGCAAGTCTCCCTCACAGGTGGTGGATAAATATTTTAATGCCTCTTTGCCATTTGGCAGGCAACGCATACCCAGCAACTTGCTGCAATCATTGCAAATGAGTCTGAGATTCAAATCATTTCAATCAGAGAAGGGACAGGGGAGCTCTATCTTAGCAAGCAAACCCCATATTAATATTCCTCCAGCACTTCCACGAGTGCACAGTTTGCTGACATCAGGGCAGAGCCAGTTTTCCCCTCTAATTTGTCTTCAGTCAAAAGCCCAGAACAGCACTTTTATGGTTTATACAGAGAACATATATTTTGATATTGGAGCTGCCAGACTTTTCTTCTGCTTGATGGGACATCCCCGGACAGGCATTACTTGGTAAGTGAGGAAAGAACTACCATCATATTTTTCAGTTCAAGCATCCAGGTGTGGCAGATGTACCATGCTATTTAAAAAAAGGGGGGGAGGTTCCCCACCCCCATTGCATGCTGGGAGCAAAAATACAAGAAGTGAGCATAGTGACTTTTTAGCATAGAAGATTCTTTACTGAGGGCACCGAACACAGATAGATCCTGTAGTTTTCTGACATAAGGTCTACCTTAAGCCTCAGCTAAGAAGCCATGGACAGAGTATAGAAGGCCAAAGAAAGCATTAGAGAAGGGTATGACATTGCAGCTGCATGCTCTAAGGGCCTTTTGGGGATATCTTGGGTAATAAATTATGCACTAGGTTTGGTAGATCTTAGACCCGTTCTCAAAGACTGTGTCAGACCGAGTCCTATTCTGAGAAATCATCGAGTTTTTCCATCAACTTGTCACATGAATTGTGTTTAATTTAGACTTTATACTGAATTAACAAAAACATCACAGGCTTCTACCCACATTGACTCATAGTCCTGAGGAGACGAGAGAACCATAAATTTTCAAGACACACAAAACCTTGGAAAGTTTCCCTTGAGGAAATGTTGCTTTACAATCATTAGATCTCTTATGCTATTTACTGAAAATTGCTTCTCTGGGCACTTCTCAGTGGATAGAAAATACGAACTAGTTTCACTGCTTTAGGACTTTACCAGCAAAAGCCTTAAAAACAGTACTTGGTTAAAAAAATAAAAAGACTTAAGACAATATTTCACACTTCTCTAGAGACTTTTATAATGTTTATACAAAAATTCATTAGCTTCACAGGAAACTTGAGAGGTTGGTAAGTGTCATTTTTCCCAGTTTTCTAACAGAGAAACCAAAGCACAAAGATTTCCAACCCCGACACATCGAGTCTTTTGTAGAACTGGAAATATGACATCAGAGTCCAGCCTGCCAGCCTGCCACTCTGACTACTATCTGTTGGGGCATTTGGTCCCAATCACCGTGATCTTTGCAAGAAGAGTCCTAAAAATCATCAACCACCAAGTGGAAAACAAAAAGCTTTAAGTGGGTAATAAATAACTTGTCCATAAGAAAGTAACAATATCGGACTCTCGTGCATTACTATTTTAATTAGGATTTAAATACCAAGACTGGTATTTTCATAAGAATGGCCATACTGGGTCAGACCAAAGGTCATCTAGCCCAGTATCCTGTCAGTTGAAGGTAGCCAATGAGGTGGCCAGAGGGAGGGATCACAATGGGTAATCCTCATGTGATCCCTCCCCTGTCTCCCACTTCCAGAGAAACAGAGGCTAGGGACACCCACTATTCCTACCCATCCTGGCTAATAACCAGATGGACCTAACCTCCATGAATCTATCCAGCTCTTTTTTGAACCCTGTTAAAGTTCTAGCCTTCACCGCATCCTCTGGCAAGGAGTTCCACAGGTTGACTGTGCCCTGAGTGAAGAAAAACTTCCTTTTGTTTGTTTTAAACCTGCTACCTATTAATTTCATTTGGTGACCTCTAGTTCTAATATTGTGGGAATAAGTAAATAACTTTTCCTTGTTCACTTTGTCCATACCAGTCATGATTTTATAGACCTTGAAAAGTCCAAGTCTTTTTAATCTCTCTTCATATGTGACCCGTTCTACACCCCTAATCATTTTCGTTACCCTTTTCTGAACCTTTTTTAATGCCAATATATCTTTTTTGAGATGAGGCGATGACATCTGTATGCAGTATTCAAGATCTGGGCATACCATGGTTTTATATGGGGGTAATAAGTTATTGTCTGTCTTATTCTCTATCCTTTTTTTAATGACTCCTAACATTCTATTTGCTTTTTTCACTGCCACTGCACGCTGAGTGGATATTTTCAGAGAACTATCCACAATGACTCCAAGATCTCTCTCTTGAGTAGTTATAGGTAAATTAGTACCCATCATATTGTATATATAGTTGGGATTATGTTTTCCAATGTGCATTACTTTACATTTATCAACATTAAATTTCATTTGCCATTTTGTTGCCCAATCACTTAGTTTGGTGAGATCTTTTTAAAGCTCTTCACAGTCTTCTTTGTCTTACCTATCTTGAAGAGTTTGGTATCATCTGCAAATTTTGCCACCTCACTGTTTACCCTTCTCTAGGTCATTTATAAATAAACTGAATAGGACTGGTCCCAGGACAGACACTTGGGGGACCCCACTTACCTCTCTCCATTCAGAAAACTTACCATTTATTCCTACCCTTTGTTTCCTGTCTTTTAACCAGTCTTATCAATACGCCAAAGGACCTTCCCTCTTTTCCCATGACAACTTACTTTACTTAAGAGCTTTTGGTGAGGGACCTTGTCAAAGGCTTTCTGGAAATCTAAGTATACTACATCCACTGGATCCCCCTTGTCAACATGTTTCAACCCAGTCTAAGGGGGTTAGGCACTCTAATCTCAGTGATTTGCATTGGCAATTGAGCACCTAAATCCTTTAGGTTTCATTGTAAATACTAACCTAATGCATTAACGTGAGTAAAGCAGAACAGCATTTTGGCCAGAGTATAGAAAGTCTCCTTTTACCACGCATAATAATCCTGAGGTCATATCTTGCCACAAGTCTTTAGGCATTACTCCTTGTTGATTTCAATGGGGGCATCTGTGTATAGTCTTAGGATATGTCTTCACTGCAATGCTATTCCGGGATATCAGAGGTATCCCAAAATAGCTACCCAGCATCTTTTGAACGCGTACGCTATTTCAAAATATAGCGGACACACCATTTCAGCATCCCTGTAAACCTTGTTCCACAAGGAATAAGGGATGTCTTGAAATAGTGCTATATTTCAAAATTTGGTGCTGTGCAGATGCGCCAAATTTCGAAATAGCCTATTTAGAAAGAATCGAAATAAGGTACGCAATTTGCATAGCGCAAATTGCGTATCTTATTTCGAGCCAAGGGTGCAGTGTAGATGCACCCTTTGATAGTCCCTCCATTGACAGAGAGATCATCTTGATAATCCAATGGGTTGTCTCCATCCCTCCGCCTATTGTGGAAATGGTAAGAGAGCAATCTCATTTCCACTGTGTCTGATATCTGACTCTGGTATTATTCCCAGTTTGTGTTGGAGAGCACAGTACCACCAACCTTACCTTCTGTTCCTTGAGCTGCTGCTCCAGTTTTAGGAGCTCCTCTTTGTTCTTCAGCATGTGCTGCTGCAGTGCCTTTATTTCGCCCTGCTTGTTGTCCATTTCCACTTGCATTTGCTTCAGCTCCTTCTCCAGTTTGTCCTTCCTTCGAGCCTCCCGCGATGCTTCGTTCTGACGCATCTGGATTTCCTGCTGGAACTGCCGTCACATGGTGACAGAGAAAAGAAAGAACTTAGGGGCTTGTATTCAGACAAATCAAATGCAGTTTTCTTTTATTATTAGGCTTTATCTACACTTAACAGCGGACGTGCTTTAACATGGCAATGTGGCCATGGCAGAAGCACTGGGACAAAGCTCTCCCAGCACTCTGTGTAAACCACCTCCACAAGGGGAATAGCTATGGAACCTAGGTGTCCCGCATGGCAGTACAGAGCATGACCCCAGCTTGCTTTGCTCTGTATACCTGACAAGAAGGCATAGCAAGAAGGATATCTCCCCCTCTGTTTTCCTGCTCCTGATTTCAGGTCTCTCATTCTCCCCTCCTCATCCTTCTGCTGTCTCTTTCTGCCCCTGTGACGGGGTGCGCCAGCCCCACTCTGAATAGGCAGGGGTTAACCAGGCTATCCTAGCTGGAGGAGCCTTGCCCCTGCAGCCCTACCAGGCATGCTCAGACTGTAGCCCAGGTATAAAAGCCTGGTGGAGAGGCTCAGTCTGGGCAGGCTGGTGGAGGAGAAGGACCTCTGGTTGCAACTCCTGAGCAGCAGCAGCAGCCAAAGGGGCCAGAGCCAGAGCCAGAGCCAGAGCCAAGAGCAGCGGAGGCCCCGACGACAGCTGGTTGCAACCCCCGCAGATTCCCAAGGATACGAGGCTTTCGAGGAGCAAGAAAGCCCAGCTGCTACATGGGACACCGACCTGTCAGAGATGGTAGGAAGCGGCCCGGGGGGGCGGTGCAGGAGCAGCCTCTCCCACCCCGAGATCCTCCGTCTGTTTCGGTTGGATTCCCCACCGAGGGAGTGGTGGACCTTAATGTCACTCACAGGGCCATAGGCCAGGACTCGGTGGAGTAGGGTGGGCCCGGGTCCCCCTACCGGGGAACAGCAACCTCCCTTCCCCCACCGTAACTTTGGCCATTAGGATCTCTGGATCTCCATTAAAGGGCCAGCCTCGGACTTTAACTCACTGACTCTGGTCATTGAGCCATCTAGCTCTGCCTTAAAGGGCCAGCCCTTGACTTGGATTTCCTGACTCCCCGACCTGGGGCCGGGGGCCGACCAGCCAGGCATCAAAGGGCCAACTTTGACTTATTGACTTTGGCTATTGAACCATCCGGCCTGACATTAAAGGGCCAGGCTCTGACTTTGATGTACTGACTTTGCCTTAGTAGCCCTTCCCACCCTGCTTTAAGGGGCCATGCCTTGACTCTAGCCATTAGGCCATCTGTCCCCAAGAAGAGGGGCCTAACCAGAGGTGTTTTACCAGTCGTACAGGGTGGGTCGCAGACTCAGGCAGCCCAGGGACATGAGATTCTACCCCTGGGATGGAGAAGAGAGGACCGTCCCATGCCAGCCCCCATACCACACTCATATTCCTTTCACCTCTCCTTCCGGGATCCTCCCACCATTCCCTGTCCTCTTGCTCTCTCCCCATTTACATGTCCTCTGACATATTCTCATCCTTCTTCACCTCCAGCAGGCGTCTGTAGTAAGAACATATTCACAGTATGATAACCCTCAGGGATAGAAAGCCTCCTGCAGATATGGAGGCTTCAAATGCAGGAGGGGACATCCACAAAGTGAGAGGACACTGTGACTCTGACATCGCCTTCGAATGCGGGAGATTTGGCAGCAGTGGACGGAGTCTAGAGTTGACAAACTGCTCTGCAAAGAATGTAGCAGAGAAATCGGGCAAAGGAGAAACGCGCTGATGATGAACTCCTCACTGTGCCTGCTGCAAAGGTTTGGGATGTGAAATGGCAGGCAGCGGCAGAGTAGTCAATGGAAATAAATTGCTAAGGTGGGAAACAGTTTAGGACAAAGACAACTATTGCAACCTGGTGAGCTGCACCGACCTGAGCGATGTTTTGTTCTGCCTCATTTTTTGCCTTCTCGGATTCTTGCTGTTGCTCTGTAGCTTGGATTAGACTTTCACGTAACTTCACAACCTCTGACAGTAGCTGGTCTCGCTCCTTTGTTACTTCTTCCTTAAATCTCAGCAAATCCCGGACACTGGAATAAAGGAAACAATATTCAAACAATATCACTCTCCCCTTTAGGGTTCTCTCTGACCTGGTCTATTCTAGACCCGGCAGGTCGGCTTAAGGTACGCAACTCCAGCTATGCAAAATACGTAGCTAGAGTCAGCTTACCTTACGCCAAGCCGTGCTGACATTCCCACAGCGTGTGCTCCCATCAGCTTCCCTTATTCCTTGCAGAACGAGGAGTACCGGACGCTGGTGGAGGCTGCCCTCAGTGTTCAATTTATGGGTCTACATTAGACCCAGTAAATCAAACTCTAGAAGATCGACCTCCGCAGCATCAATCTTCTCGTGAGTATAGACGTGCCCACCGATACCAGAACAAGATATTTGGCGATTACTGGGAGTTTAAAAGTCACTTATTTCATTTTTAAGTCCTTTTGAATTAATTCACTGCAGCTGCCAATCAAATACATGAGCTACATACTATATTCATGAGCCATGAACAAGGCAGACAGACCCAACATTTATTCTACTGCTCCATAAATAATGCTGTCTTTATTTTCACTGCCCTCTTGGGTCTAAAAATCCCACCAATCCCCCAAACTTATGGTTGCAAGAAAAGACAAAAATTCCAGCTGCTCTAGCCTGTGCCTCTTGGAAAGTCGTCCTACTGCCTCATTTTTGCACAATTTTCCAGGGTCCCTGCACTGCTGCATCCACTCTCTTTGCAACCTATCTGACGGCGGTGGCTATACTGATGAAGTCTTGCTGCAGCACGAGCCATAAACGACACTCCCTGATCTGAGGAGCTAACAGTCAAGCTATCCCTGGTCTCTCGTGGAACGAGGTGTACAGCTAGTTTGGATTAGGAAGCCTAGTCTGAACTAGCTAGTTCGTGCCGCGTGTAGGCGCGCGGCACGCAGTCCGAACTAGCCGGCATTTAAAAATGGCGCCGGCCGTGATCATGCAAATGAAGCCCGGGAAATTCAAATCCCGGGCTTCATTTGCAACTCCGTATGACTACATTAACCACCCTAGTGCAAACTAGGGTGGCTAGTGTAGACATACCCAGAGAGCAATAAAATCAACTTGCCCAAGGACATACCAGTAGGCTTGTGGCAGAGCTGGGAATAGTAGCCAGCTCTCCCACTTCCAGTCTCTAGTCGGTGGGGGAGGGGGCAATTTTAGCTCGCAAGTCACATGTGGCTCTTTTATAGGTAAAGTACCAGTCATGAAACCATGCCCCTGCCCCCGCCAGCCTCTATTCTCCACCTACCAGACTGGGGGAGGATCTTGGGGCTTCTGTCCTGCAGCAAGGGTGGTAGGACTATAGGCTGCTGTCCAGTGAACAGCGGGAGCTCAGGGCTGAAGCCCCAAACCCTGGCAGGCACCTGCTACAGGGTAGAAGCCTTGAGCCCCAGCAGGCACACCCTGCAGGACTGAGGCCCTCAGCTCCAGTACCTGCGCCTGCAGTACTGGGACACAGCTTGCTTTTTTTCCTGTTCACCTGACTTTTGGGGAGCGAGGGGAAAGTACATGGCTTCTGGGCACGCCTTTCACTCCTGGCTGGTGAAGAGATGGGCAGAGGTGTAATTCATGGAAAATACATATTTTCCCCTCGCTCCCTGACAGTCAGGGGAATGGGAAGAAAAGCGAGCCACATCCGGTAGGCAAGTCTGCTCCCCCACCCCCTTCCTCCGCTATCCCAAAATGGTGCCCTTGCATGCATCCCAGCTCTTAATCATCTAAAAATTGTCAAGTGTGGCTTGGAAAATCAGTAAGTTTGGCCACCCCACAAGGCCATGCTGCCATTATGAATGCAAATATTTGCAGACATAGGTGCTGGAAGTAGGGGTGTGGGGAGGTGCTGCAGCACCCCCTGACTTGAAGTGTTTTCCATTATATGCAGGATTTACAGCTTCATTCAATGGCTCTCAGAACCCCATTATAAAAACTATTCCAGCACCACTGTTTGCAGGATCAGGCTCTCATAATCAGGCACAGATCAGACAAGACAGGCTGGCAAGTCCGAGGAAAGCTGATAATCTGATCCAACATCCATTGAACTCAATGGGCCTGATTTTCTGTTGTCCTGCAATTTGCATTGTCATTTGCACACCAGTGAAAAGCGAATGCACAGTGGAAATAAAACACAACTATTCCAATTTACACTCACCTTGCACTGGTGTGAATGACTCCACACAATGCAGGGCCAGGGAGAAACAGCTCCATTGAATTAGATCAGGTTCTCCCGTTCCTCCATGGAGACAACTTACTTGTGCTCTTGACCCAATGATAATCCAGATCCTTGCTCCACTAATTTCGTCAGGTTCATAATTTCTTCTTTCAGTGAGAGAATGGTTTCCTTTGCTTTCTGCTCCTTGTCATAGGCTGCATCCACCATTTTCCAGGCCTTTTCAATCTCCTGGTAGAACATCATGGAAAAACAGTTTAACAAGCTACATTGGATTCAGAATGAACAACAAATTGGAAAGTCATTATTTTTGTCTTGGTTAACTAATAATACAGTTTTTGGTGTTTTTTCATATTTAGATATATATCAGATTCCTCTTTCCGTGGACATTATACTGGGTCAGTCAAGTGCCATCCATTTATATTTAATTGAGGATCAATTAAGTCATTGTTCTGTAATAGACACATTGGTCTTTAAATCTGCAAAGCCTTGTTGTTGGATTTTGGTTTCATGACTCCCCCTGAAATTAGTAAGAGTTTTATGGCCAAAAGCCCTCTCAACTCTCTAAGAAGTCACATTTTAAGACATTAAAAACCACATTTCCGTCTTAAAATATTCCATCTACTGTAGTTACAAGTAACACCTACAATCATTATAACCGAGATTGCAAGAAGAGGGGAAGACTTTTTTCCAGTTTGTTTGTTTGTTTGATTGGTTGATGAGAATGTTATAGTTCAAGGTGACCGCACCTGTATTCCCCCTCCATGGCCCCTCAAGGCCATCCAATACCTGCCATGGAAACTATTCCACAAAATCACTTTTGTTGTCCCTATATAGAGAGTTAGTGATGCCCTGCTTTAGCAAAGCACTTGACTACGAGTACGTCTAGATTACAGACTTCTGTCGACAAAGAGCGTCTAGACTACATCCAGTTCTGTCAACAAAGCAAGTCTTTGTCGACATGAGAGCGTAGATGCAAAGGACAGTGTAGATGCAATAACACCTTCTGTTGACAGAATTCTGTCGACAAAAGGAGTTATTCCTCGCAGAATGAGGTTTACCGCCATTGACAAAACTGCCGAGTTCTGTCGACATTATGTCGACAGAACTCGGCGGTAGTGTAGAAGCAGGTATAGTTTTGTCAACAAAAGGCCACTTTTGTCAACAAAACCCTGTTGTCTAGACATACCCGAAGTGCCTGACTTTAAGCCCATATGTAGTCCTATTGACTTCACATGTCTCTACTTTAAGTGGTACTTAGAGCTGCAGTGGAAGTACTCTATGCTTACATTTAGGCAGATGCCCACATATTTTACAGAATCTGAGCCCTAGTCTGCTTTATTTTGTTTGTTTGTTTGTTTGTTTGTTTGTTTGTTTGTTTGTTTAGGGGGGAGTCTTGGGGGCTGTCTTTCACCCACCCAGTAACCAGAGAGAAGAAACCTTTTTGTGATAGGAAAGTGTGGTTGTGACACCACAAAAATTGCCCAGTGGCTAAGGCACAATTGTAGTATCTGAAGAAGTTTTTAACATTTTTTTAAATTTACTAGATTTCAAGTGTAGAGTGTCCCTTTAATATCTTATCAAGGTTGTGTAACAAACAGATGGAAGTACGGAAGTTAACAGTAAAGGCTGGCAATTGTCTCTAACTCACATTATTGTGGAAGAAGAAAAGAAACTCAAGCAAAAAGTACTAGTTAAGAATCTAATGCCAGATTTATTAGGAATTTGGAGACTTGTTTCCGATTTAGATCCCAAACCTTTCAATGCAACTCTACATAGGCACTTGCACCCAACCCCACTAAAGTCATGGAGAATCTTTTTATTAACGTCAGTTGAACTTGCAACTTTACTCAGGTGATTATTTTTGTGAAATTCAATGGGACTACTCTGGTGAGTAATGACTTCTCACCTGAAAGTAAAGGTTACAGGATTGTGCCCATAGATCCTTACGCTCCCTGTCAATGGTAAAAATTCACTTTGCATACACACGGATCTAGAGCAAGATGTAAACAGGAGACATCCTAATCAGGCTTATGACATTTATTTCTGCTAGAAGGGGACCACACCTAATGTTACCTAATTGAACTAATAGTTCAACTAATTGTTTCTAACTTCAGATGGGGCTATAGGAGGTTGCTTCTTTTAAATTGAAGATTAAATAGAAGGAAATCTCTGATGATGGAAATGTCTATTTTTAAAAATCACATTCTCATGTCAAACTCATTGGGAAGCTAGGGCTTAGAGAACACAGAGCATGTCATAATCTTTTAGATAATCAGATTATAATTAGTAATTTAAAAATGCACTGCAGTTTATTGCATAATTAACTCCAGAAACAGAGCCGTACTTGATGTTTGTACTAACAGTCGTTCAGAAAATTTGCGGAAAAGATTTCTGGTAATTATGAAGTACCTAGTTCATAAGCTGTAACTGCTTTGTTTTATTGGCGTTTAAGTAACAAAAGTGATTGCACTAATTTAATTGTTCAAAGACTGAGAGTTTGCCTATACATACAGGGGTGCAGTAGAGCTGCTGTAGTGTTTAGTGAAGACACTGCCTATAGGGACAGGAGAGCTTTTCCCAGCAGCATAGTTATTTCACTTCTCAGAGAGGTGGTATATATATATCGATGGGAGATACAGAGGCAACAGAGGCAACAGCATGGAGTAGCAGGCAGCCAGTCCACGTGGGGAGCTGTTTTTTAAACTGGCTCCCCTCGCAGACCAGCTCCCACCTGGAACCCCACACCACTGACTCTGATACGAAGACAGCAGTGCAGGGTGGCAGGGGGCTCCCTGGGAGTGAGGCTGGATTGCACTGGCTGCTGGTCCTGCCCCTGGGAACTACAGAATAGTCGAGTAATTGCTAAGAATTCGTGCATTTACTCGACTATTCAATTACCCAACAGCTAACACCCTTACTCCCATCGATACTGTGCTGTTACACCAAGAGTTCTGTCAGGATAACGGCTTGTTTCAGGAGCGTGGATGTTCCACACCCCTGGGTGATATAGTAACACCACCATAAGCCTGTTGCATAGACCAAGCCTAAAATCGTGGAGGCCGGGTTAACAGTTGTCAGCCCTAGAGAATGAAGTCCTGTTAGCCAGAGCCAGGGCAGTGCATGCTTCTGCATACTGCTCTGACAACATCCCTCCATCCTAACCTGGTGGAAGATCATAGAGGCAAGCGTGAAATTCGTTCTCTGTAGTTCAATTCAGTACTTGCCTTCTCTGATGTGTCTCTCAACCAAGGGCTATTATGTGAGGTGCACATAAGAAAATGGCCTAAAACAGTAAAAACACAGCACTGAGCAGCCTAGATGGTAACATCAATTGATCCCTACTGACCTGGCCACTATCCTGTATTCTAATCTAAAGAGTCTGGCTTCTGCACCTGAACATTTCAACAGGACTTCACAGGGTACAGGGCTCGGCCTCTGCTGTTACATACCAACGGCCATACTGGGTCCCACCAAAGGCCCATCTAGCCCAGCGTCCTGTCTTCTAACACTGGACAATGCCAGGTGCCCCAAAGGAAATGAACAGAACAGGGAATTATCAAATGATCCATCCCCTGCCACCCATTCCCAGCTTCTAACAAACAGAGGCTAGGAACACCATGCTTGCCCACTCTGGCTAATAGTCAATGATGGATTTATCCTCCATGAATTTGTTTAACTCTTTTTTGAACCCTTTTATAGTCTTGGCCTTCACAACATCCTTTGGCAAGGAGTTCCATGGGTTCACTATGAGTTGTGTGAAAAAATACTTCCTTTTATTTGTTTTAAACCTTCCTTTTGTTTGTTTTAAACCTATTAATTTCATTTGGTGACCCCTAGTTCTTGTATAATGAGGAGGAGTAAATAACACTTCCTCATTTACTTCCTCCACACCAGGCATGATATTATAGACCTCAATCATATCTCCCCTTGGTTGTCTCTTTCCCAAGCTCACAAGTCAGACTGGAAGATTGTGGCCTTCTTGTGGATTTGACCTGCTGATCTAGAAGGAAAAGTCTCTGCACCCATTACCTCTATGATCTAGTCAGTCACTAACATTTAGGTCTTTATTCATGTTGCTTTTACAGGAACAGCCTCAGTAGAATTCTCTTTTCTCTAACACATTCTGGCATGTTTACATTGTGACAGAAGACCTCTGGCATGGCCACAGCTGGCCAAGTAGCTAACTCAGACTTGTACGGTCTAGGCTGCAAGCCTATAAAACTATAGTGTAAACATTCAGGCTCAAACTAAAACCCTGGCTCTGAGACCCTGCGAGGTTGTGAAGGTCTCAAAGCCTAGTTCCAGTTCAAGCCCAAGTGTCTACATTGCAATTTTTAGCCTTACAGCCTGAGCCCTGGCACACGATGCTGCAGGTATTTTATTGCAATGTAGACTGCAATAAAACGGCTATTTTGTTTTGTTTTAATGTAGTAAAGGAAATATGCTTCAAAGTTGTATTGGGATTTGAATCTACTTGCTAGTTTGCATTAAGCACATCTGACGGTCTTTCCAAAGCAATTAGTGAAATTACAGCGAAGTACAGTGAAATTAGGATTAGTCATAGGATTCCATTTCTGACGGTAAAACTGCATGCAATTTTGAGGGCCCTCTGAAAAAAATCAATAGCAACTGAAGAGTTTCTCTGAGAAATAGCAAATTAAGTGTTTTTCAGACATGACAAGAACATTTTTGTTATAATGTTATAGTGATACCAGAATATTTCATCCAAACATTAAGCCTCCTATCAAAGCTGAGAAATACCTGTGCTTTCTGCCCCCACATCAACACAGGCCTGTGTGTTATAAGAATATCTCTTATGAGCTGTTTATTCTGCACTGTTTCTAACTGTAACATATTGCCCAACACCTTTCCTACACTGGTTTCAAAGCAGCTACGTTGGTGGGTGCTGTTACTCTGTACATCCCTTTATGGCAGAGGCAGGGAACCTTTTTTGGGTCAGAGCCACTGACCCACAGAAAAATCAGTTGGGGGCCGCCCATAAGCGAGAAGCAAAAACAAAACACAAATCTCACTGACATGGCCCTCGAGTGAGGAGGAGAAAGACACTCCCCACATTCCCCTCCCACAACAGAGCTGAGAGGGCCCCAGCCTAGTAATTTTTGTGTGCTCCAGCCCTGCTGGGGGGCAGTGGGTAGCTGAAGCACCAGCACAGGCTCCTCAATGCCGGGGAGTCTGAGCAGTGGGAGTCAGAGCCAGGCTAGACAGGGGCTGCATCTGGCTCCCGGGCCTGAGGTTCTCCACCCCTGCTCTATGGCTGGGGGGAGTCTCTGCTGCTGTATCCCACTCCCCAGCTTCCATTTGTTAGTCTACAGTTTCAGAGCCTGCCTCCACTCTGGCTGAGAGAGGGACAAGACAGAAGCAGCGTGAAATTGACATGATTTGTGTCAATTTCACACTGACTCTCTCTAGTCCAGCAGCCTGGGCCTTGACTGGTGCCAAACCAGAGAATTTGGAGAACCACGGCAGGTCAATGTTAGAGTGGGTGGAACTCTTTATTTTTGTTTCACCAAGGCAAATAAATGGAAAAGCGCTCACAGTGCTGCTTAATAATGTATGACTATTGATACAACCTATAACAGCCCACACCTAGCCAAGTCTTATCAGCTCTCTTCATAACAAAGCATTAGTGTTGTCATACAATTTTACTGTATTGGCACAAGGAAACGAGTAGCTGAAGCATAAAAAACATGCTTGCATTTAGCAGCATTACCAGCACTTCCCCTGCTCACTAGTCTCTTAGAAGATATTTTGGGGTAATTTAGAGCTAAATAACAGCACAGAAAACAGACTGGTGGCTATACACAAGTGTTAAGGTACCTCAGAAAACTTGGCCACACCCACAATAAATGGACAATTGACTAACTAAAATCATGCTGGATCCTGGATATCGCTGAACCAGAGAATGCCGGACTAGAGAGGTTCAAGGATCTGATTAACAACAGGAAAAAACTCCAAGGTTCCAAGTTTTCATTCTACAGCAACTTGGGAAAGCTCTGAGTAGGAGCAGAGGCACAAGAACTGTCTGTCTAAAGTCTTGGGATGACAGCGCTCCCAAGAATTTATGCTCTGATCACATATAGAAGGCTGTCTTCTCAAACATGAGGACAAGATGCTTAATTTTTTAAATGAAAACTTACAAAAGTTGATGTCACTTCCCTGGAAAACTCCTACTTGCAACAGGCAGACAGATTTTTTATTTCCTGCCAACATTTAAAATGTATACAGGCAGTCCCCGGGTTACGTACAAGATAGGGACTGTAGGTTTGTTCTTAAGTTGAATCTGTATGTAAGTCGGAACTGGCGTCCAGATTCAGCCGCTGCTGAAACTGATCAGTTTCAACAGTGGCTGAATCTGGACACCAGTTCTGACTTACATACAGATTCAACTTAAGACCCCCAAGTCAGCTGCTGCTGAAACTGATCAGCGGCTGATTCCAGGAAGCCCAGGGCAGAGCAACTCTGCCTCTTCTTAAGTTGAATCTGTATGTAAGTCGGAACTGGCGTCCAGATTCAGCCGCTGCTGAAACTGATCAGTTTCAACAGTGGCTGAATCTGGACACCAGTTCTGACTTACATACAGATTCAACTTAAGACCCCCAAGTCAGCTGCTGCTGAAACTGATCAGCGGCTGATTCCAGGAAGCCCAGGGCAGAGCAACTCTGCCTCGGGCTTACTGATCAGCGGCTGAATCAGGACGCCTGGGGCAGAGCAGCTGGGGTGCTGCCAACTCCTCTAAATGGTAAGAGTTAGGGCCACCAAATTTATGCAGCTTCCTCATCTCCTAACTTAAAGCAAGGTAATTGTTTGGTTGTGCCAAGACAATCAGAAGCCCTGGAAAAAGGACAGTTTTCTATACAGGCAGTCCCCGGGTTACGCGGATCCGACTTACGTCGGATCTGCAGTTACGAATGGGGCTTTTCTCGCCCCAGAGGACGGGAGCAGCCCGCAGCGGGACAGCCCAGGCGCGCCGCGGCTGTCCCGCTGCGGGCGTCCTCCGAGGCTTTGCTCTCAGACCAGGGAGACGGGGAACAGCTTTTCTCGCCCCGGAGAATGCGGGCGGCGGGACCGCAGCTCATCTGGGTGTCCCGCCGCTCCCGTCCTCTGGGGCGAGAAAAGCCCCCTTCGTAACTGCGGATCCGACATAAGTCGGATCCGCGTAACTCAGGGACTGCCTGTATAACATTTCAGAAACATCAACTAATTAATTTCAGAATGCTCCTGTGGCATAATTATTATCCTTGTTTTACAGATAAATCAGCTTACACACAGAATTAGTAACTCCTTTGACGCCAACAGAGATAGCGTGATTTGTGTAAATAAGCACAGAATTAGAATGACATGGCTTGCCCAATGCAACTCAGCAAGTCAGTAGCAGAGCAAAGGTTAGACTGAAGGTTTTAGCTCCCAACTCTACATTCAGTCCTCTAACTCATACTACTTCTCTATATCAGAATAATCTCTTCAGGACACTGAACTGATGAAAAATTTCCCTCAGCTTATTACTACAATTTATACTTAATTGTATTTAAATTTTACCCTCTTCAGTGACGCTATCGTTGACTGATCATCTTGAGAGAGCTTCAGGGCTGCAGCCACTTTCGCCGAATTCACCACAATCTCTGCATTCAGCTCCCTGCATTTTGACATTAGACGCCTCTCATTTTCGTAGGATTTCTTCATAACTGTGTGGAGCTTCTCATATTCTATCCGGAATTTCTCCAGACTTCTATCTCCCTTAAGTTCATCGATGATGTCTTGGAAATCTTTTTCCAGTGCTTCAAAGGCATTTTCTTCTATGCACAGTTTTTCATACTTTTCCTGTATTAAATGAGGTGGATAATCAATTAGCAAGGAGAGTTCAAAAATCTCAGTTTTGCCAGCAGATGACCACAAAAGATAACAGCAATATATTCATTAGGGATGTAAAATCCTGTTTAATCAGTTAAACACTCCTTCCTAGTGGGCTGGAGCACCCGCCTGCTGTGGGCATGAGCTGAGCGCTCCCACCCAGAGAACGCTGCTCCAGCCCCGGCCGGTTAACCACAAACTGTAAGCATCACCCGGTAAGGGTGATGCTTACCGGTTAACCAGTTAACCATTCATATTAATGACAGCTCATTGGTAACTAACCATGATATAAACGTTCTGTGTAGCAGCTCCCTCCCATACAAAATTTACATTTCATTCTATTTTTTTAAATAGCTATCCATTAATTTCACTGAAATAACTTAACCTTCAGACAGTTGAAGCTCCTGAAATTGAGCATGACAACGCTAAAGCTAAGTCTAAAAAAGCCACTATAGCTACAACCTTTAAAGAATGCATCAGATACTTATTTAACTGAGCACTTTAACCCCATTTTTTCTGCATCCCCCACATCCTTCAGTCAGATACATATTTTCTGCAAAGATATTTCCAGCACGTCATTGTCTCTCAGCCAAGTTTGGCTCTGCTACTGACAGTATCATCCCATCACCAGGAAGCTCTACCATTGGCCCTGTCACACAGGGAGTTTTGATTAATCTCAGCTGTGCAGACAGATTTTGCCAACCTTGGCTCTGCAGACCCCACTCACCAGTTATTGATAGCATTTTCCTATTTTCACAGTAGTGAGAGTTCCATGCTAATCAAAGAAAACGACCCCATTAAACCATTCCGCCTCCAAAAAGAAATCTCCATATATGTAGGTTACCAACTCAGCATACTCAGGGTCACACCCTACTCTCCTGGTCCCACAAGTAGTCCCACTGATTTACATGGAGAAACTTGGTGAATAAGAATAGCAGGATTTATTCTTCCTAATTACTTGGGATTACAGGGGATTGTGTTTCTCAGGATATTTGGACAAATTAAAATTGGGGACAGCAACACCAGATCCTCCCCACCCATCTACCCACCAAAATGTAGGTAAATTCTGATCTAGATTTCAACACTGTGATGCAGCCTTTCCTCTATGCCAAGCTGACTTAGAACAATGAGTCCAAAGCCTCCCTATCTCTGTAGACGTTCTCACTGGGATTTGATTCCAGATTCAAACCAGAGGTCTGTCTTTATCTGAAACTCTGTAGGAAATCATGGGATGAAACTGCGCAAAGAAAATGTAAGCTGAATATCAGAAATAGGGGGAAAAAACAGTTCCCAAGAGCGTGGAATAATGTCTGACAGGAAGCAGTGGAATCTCTGCTGCTTAGCACATTTAAAACTCAGTCAAGTGGGGACAGTCCAAAATATAATGTATGAGCCAAAGGGTAATGGACAAAATGGATGCTTTTTCTCTCTAATGTCTAAGACTTGAATTCTGATCTCACTTACACTATAATGACTTCATTAAAATAGTTGTTAATCCAGTGTGAAATTGGTGTGAGAAGAGAATCGCACCAAGTCAGCTTGTGAGTAATTGATCCTTTTCTAGTACATGTAAAACATTCATCTCATATTTTAAGACTAAATGTATTTTTATTCCATCTACCGTATTTGGATATGCCATTTCATCAAAGACTAATTAAATTGAAAGGTGCTCTGCAATATTCATTTGACACTTAAAATATTATTCTTTGAGCTTAGTAATAGCATCCTAATTATATGAGTTTAGGTTCATCTTTTTGTGTGTTGGTAAGAAAAATATTTTTGGTAAAACTTTTTTGGTGACATGACATTAAAACCAGCAACACACATAGGTAGTCATGCTCAGTTCCAAGAGCTCCAACTGTCTGAAGGTCAAGCTATTTCAGTGGAATTAATGGATATCTATTTAAAAAATAGAATGGAACGTGAATTTCATATAGGAGGGAGGCCGCTGCTATACTAAATGCACCCCTGATGTAAGTCCACTGTTGTATGTGATGCAGCAAAAAAGAATTGGTTCCACACACTGGATTAGATTATTTTTTAAATGGCCAACAATTTGCGGTGCCTGTTTTCTGGGTGCTTGGCTGGACCTGGTTTTCAGAAATGACTGGCACCGTGCCTCCAATTAAAGTTGATCAAAGTAGTGGGAGCTCTGAAAATTAGGACCAACATGTCTCAAGATGGAAACCAAACCTGAGGTATCCAAAAGTATTGGCTACTTAAAAGTCTTTCTATATATGTCTTCCATCATATCAGAAATAGCTTCGGGTGCACCACCAAGCAGATTTTTGCCCACCATCTAGTCAGCCGTCTCGAATCGTTGTAAACTCTGCAACGTTTGCTGATAGAAATGTGCGTGTGAAAACAAAATGATGTGGATGGGATAAACAGTATTAGCGTCAGTCTGGTCAGCCCCAGTGACATCTCTGCCCAGAACTTCAGCAATCCACATCGGCACAGTTTCAAACAAAGGACAGAAGACAAGAAAAGGCCAGGTCACAATGAACTGCAAAGTGGATTCATCCTTAGCTACAGCTGGGTGGAAGCTGTGCAGAAGGCTTCAGCCCAGGGCACTGCTCTCTTAGGGTATGTCTACACTATAAAGTTAATTCGAACTAACAGACGTCTAGCCTTCACAGCCTCCTGCACTTCCACAGGTTGACTATTTGCTTTGTGAAGAAGAACTTTCTGTTATTAGTTTGAAGCCTGCTACCCATTCATTTCATTTGGTGTCCTCTAGTCCTTCTATTATGGGAACTAATGAAGAACTGTTCTTTATGCACCCTCTCCACACCACTCATGCTTTTATAGACCTCTATCATATCCCCCCTCAGTCTCCTCTTTTCTAAGCTGAGAAGTTCCAGTCTCTTTAGCCTCTCTTCATATGGCACCTGTTCCAAACCCCTGATCATTTTAGTTGCCCTCCCTTCTCCCTCCCTCTCTCTTCCCCTCTCCCACCTCCTTTTCCCAGTTTCCCCGAGTTTTGTTCAATAAAGAGAGTTTCTATTTTTGAACACACGTGTCCTTTATTTTGTACATCAGGAAGGGGGGCTAGGGAGGGGTAA